CGGTGAAAAAAATTTACCGCATACCATAAAATATGGTCAACAGATGTTTATTTTGTTTAGGTTTGGTTTTTTCACCATAAATATTTATGTAGACAATGATGATGAAATTAGTGCTAAATAATAATTATAATTTAAAAAAAATATTTTTTCGTTGAAACTCTGAAACTTAAAAAACAGTTTTAAAATTTTTGGTGCCATAAATTGAACACGGAAAATTCAAACAAGAATTGAAACGTTTTTATTGACTATGTCTGTTCATTGAATGTCGCTATAGACTTTAAGACATAGACTGCGAATTCGTGTAGAAGCGTAATAGTATGTATGGGAATTCATCCACATAGCTTTTTATGAATATTAAGTATCTATATCCTCTGTTAAATCAGACTTATTACCAGAAGTCTGGCTGAAATGTTTTGAAGCGCTCAGTCAAGCTTAAGTACATCTTTTGATATGGAATATTCGTTGAAGTGATTTGAAACGAGCACGTACAGTATAACATAATCACTTCACCCCAGATTTCAACAATTTTCAATACAGTGTACTTTACCAGTGTCTGTAAGTGCTTCCTTTGGTTTGTTCTGATAGTTTTATTCATTAAATATATGATGAAAAACTTTCCATTTGAGCTCATTTTATAAATATACGAATTAAGTTATATAAACACACATTTATTATTATTATTACTATTTGTCCCTTGGGTTCCTGGTGGAACATAAGGCTTTAGTAGCACGTTTCCATTCCGCTCTGTTCTCTACAATCTTTCCAACCTGGCACTACGACAGCCCAGAATCTCTCATTTCTTCCTCACACCATCTCTTCCATGTCACCCTTGGACGCTCAACCCATGGTTTCTCATCTGGGTTCCGCTCTAGTGCCTGGCACATGATGTCCCGTAAACATACGTCTAGCTAATTATAATTCATTACTTTTGATTCAGTTTTTAAGTTAACTGCCTGGTTTTTTATCCTTATGGAAATAAAGAACTTTTATTGTCTCAATGGCTAATATATGTCATCGATTAAATAGTTTCTAAACAAAGTTGTTTAAGGAGAAGACTAAAATATACTGACATTTACATTATTTAATTCTGCCGGTTGCGTTTTTTAGTGAACTTAACATCATTTGAGGCACTCAACAATAGATCACTCCTTTAGGAATATTTTCCGTTTTGTCAACTTCTATCAGTTTATAAACGACTGTGTTCATCTGATACCTTTTAGATTATTCTTCATCACGACAAGTGTGACTAATAAACAGTATTCCCGGAAAATAATTCCTTAATTTACTGTGGCACAAGATTATCGAGCTAAATTAGGCACATTATTGTGTTAGACCATACTGGAAAAAGGGGAATAAAAGTTTGTAAACACCGTTCAAATTAACATTGGTTTTTGTACGCTTTTGATATTTCGGGAAGGTAATGTAAGATAATGTGGTGTGAAAGTTCACATTATATTCAAACTAATTAGCGAATTGCTTTTTCACAAATATTTGGTAAAAAAAGATTTAATTGTATTTTGTGAAATCTACAAGCAATCGTGAATAACATACTTAGTTCGTTTACTCGTATTATTGTTATCAGTTAAGCGGAACTTTCTATATTCCGTTTCAAGTTTATAACAATCTACTTGTTATCACCCATGAAAACTTTGAATTTGATTTATACCTAAGTGAAATTCGTTTAAGGGAATACCTTTATTGCCTCTTAATTTATCCAGACACGTCAATACAAGATGAAAAACACTTAAATTTCTTATTTCCTTCTTATCCCTCTTAAATATTTAGCGATATACGTTTAGCAATACACAAACTTTTGTGACTTATGTAAGTACCAATATTACAACCTTGAATGCACTTCAGTGAGGAAAATGTGTCCATCTGGTGGAAAATAAAAGGTAAGTAAACTTGAGATTTTAACATCAACTGGATGCTTTGTTCACTGGGCAGAAAACTAACTCTAAGACATGAAGGTTGCAAGATGTCATTTGTAATCATCGACCTCGGTCTGAGAAAAATCTGAGGTTGTTTTGGACTGTTTACTGTATATACTGAGTTATAAGTTCATAACTGAGCTACTGTTTAGGTAATTGGATCCTTCCGTTACCTTCTTATGCAACAGATTATGGTTTTACTGAATATTTATAAGTAATTTTGTAAGCATATATCTCTTTATCTAAGAAATGATATCTCCTATTATTTCGGTTTGACGTCATGCCATAACATAGCCACCTTCAGTGCGTCACATTTGGCAGATAAAGTGATCTTATAAGGTACAGAAGTCTATATCTTGTTTTGTTGCGTGCATCTTCATCAACAGTTAATTCACTAAAATAATCACTTTTATTCTGTGTGGATCATATTGGATTTAGATGTTTCCATTTCGGTCTTCTGTAAAACAATGGATTATATTATTCAATTTATTAGCATAGTTAATTCTAAACAAGCAGATGTTTAGGGTTCAGCTGTATGTTTGTTTAGCAGTAGTCAAACACCGAGCAACAACACTGGTCACTCCTGTGGGAGATTTATTGAGACTATACGGTTTCTAGGGACCGTAGTTTCCAAGTTGCTTCCCTAGGTGCTATTTGTGCAGTGAGTAGTACGATGAATAAATGAAATCCAATGTCATGGTTTATTTATTATTTGTTTGTGACTAGTAATTAAAGTTAGCAGCGAAATTTTTACTGAATAGGCTGAAATCAACTTGAACAGTGGGAACTTTACAACACTTATGACACTTAGCTTATACTTCAGCGAAGAACAAAATCATTCATGAGTACCTGGAATTCAAAGGATATGTGAATTAATCAACTAATTTTCATGCACTATATTACAAGCCTTCTAGAACGCCTTTTAAGTGTAACGTTTCAGTGCAGCTAAATACTGGATGATAACAATTTTTGTTTGTAAATCCTGCAAAAATAGTATCACCATTATTTTTCTACAAGAAGGTTTACGTGATATGAAGAACAATCACGAATGTAAGCCATTTATAAAACCGGAAGGTCTGTGTAATACGCATAAATAATAGAGATTCTGAACAACATTTATTCGTTAATCTTTCTGAAATGCTAGAGAATATTTGCAGCTGAGATGAATGAATTTGGTAGTATTGAGTTTTTGAGTGAGTTGAGAACACATCACAACATCGGTGATAGTCTGCAATATAGTTAATAACCAGAGGCTGGATTTTATCTGTGGTTGACAGCTTGAAATTAAACTTGGTGGGTTCTTTAATTTCAGTAAATGACAAATTTTATGTACAGCCTAAGAGATAGGCGAATTTATTTCAAAAAAATTGTAAACAACTTTAGTAATTAGACAAAAGTTTGTGACATTGTAAAAAATAGAACTTAGTTTGTACCATAGAATTTTATTTTGAGTATTAAAGCCCACTGAGTTTTCCAAGAAATGTATATCAACAAATTAAATTGCAGGTAAGATACATATTACGTGTTCTAAAACGTTAGTCAATTAACTTTATCCTATTTTATACCAGATCACCTTTTTGAAATGATAAGGTAATCCTGAACGATCTGCTGAGTAGGATGCAGTCAAAATAAAACCTTATCACAAATTTGGCATCCTCAACAAAACTGAAACACGAAAAGCAGTTAAGTCGCCTTCTACATCGTATAAAATCAAAAAAACACGTTTCTAGACACTGTATCCATCAGTATTCAAATATGTAATAATGATAACAATATAAAAATGACATCAGTGATTCATAAAGAACTCTTGGAACATGAAGATTTTCATATCACACTTAAATATATCGATTATGAAGTTTTCAGACTAAATAAGTACAAACAAAAATTGTTGATAAACTGATCATCGTTTTTTCCTTTAACAGATATTCTAAGCACCCAAATACTCTTGACATCTGTATCACCTTTAACGCAATATTCAAGCCGACCAATGTGAAGTAAGCATACCATATTCTTAGGTTCGATTTCAGTGATAAAGCTGTTTGAACTAAATAAGTGAACATTTGATAATTGTAAATCAACAATCATATATATTGATACCAGTATATAATAAGCGAATACCAATTTGTGTTTAACTGAATCTTTTAATTTGAGCAAATATTTAAGAGAAGAACAATTATTTCGGTTAAGTGAATTTAATCTTTTGTTGAAACGTTTTCATGGGACTTTATAGATAAATGAAGATTCGCTTAAAATAATTTTTAGCAACTGGTATCAATCTGATGTGTAATAAGAATATATTCTCAACTTGACTAATCTGTTACATTTTTCTATGTAAACTCATTATTAGTACGTAAATATATGCATTTTACCCAGCTTGAAACCTTTTTATCTTGAGTAATGTTTCAGTTAACTTAGAGAATTTCGCTTCCACATTAAATTACCAAGTGGCTCAGTGAACAGAATTGAAAGCAAGCTTATGACATTTCGTCCAAGTTTTGTTGTTTCTATGAACAAATATGTTTTCAAAATTAAGAATTGACCTGTTTATGTAATTTGGCTTTTTGAAGGGGCGGATTCAAAAACTGATAGTAGGCAGTCAAAATAACACACATTACTGACGAAGCCATGAGTTGCTTGCATCACATTTTCCGAACTACCGAAAATTATTTATTTAAGCTACTTATGAACATCAATTAAACAGTTAAAGTAAAAATATTGCAGACTGCGGTCACCTACAGCCAGGAATACGTTTTAAGTAAAAAACAGCTTTTAAATTAAAGATGGGTGAGAAGCCATGGATATCCGTTTTAGAGTTTGGCTAACTTACAATCCTGCAACCAAAAAATCTTCAGGATCGACTCAATTGTTAATAAATTTCATTTGAAATCACAAGTAAAAGTGTTACATGCTGAATACTAATAGCAAGATCTTGTAATATTTGCTGGAAAAATGATCATAAAACGTACGCAAATTGGAATGCTGCATAGTTTCAACCAAAAACAATTTTTTTGAATATAGATTTTGTCATATAAAGAAAAACGATAAATATGGAGTATCTAGATTCCTTACAAATTTGTAGCATTCAGCTTTTCACGATTTTCAATCTGTTTAGATGCATTCTAAATTTTCAAGTGTATAAATACTTCGTTACTGTTTAACCTTTGAGACTACATGAAGTACCTCATAAGGAAAACGTTATCTTTGTATGAATCTCAGGATTTATAAGATGAATAACTTCGATATTGAAACCTTTATATTTGATCGAAGCTTCTTAAGAAATACAGTCAAAACTGAATTATCAAAGATGCGTAGGTAAGGTTAAAGTCTATTTTCATCTCACATAACAAGTCGAAATATTTAGATCGTATTAGAAATTCTTAGTTGATTGTGGTAAGTGTTTCATACTCCTCTGGCCTAAACAGAGCGATAGATCGTAAATTTCGGTGCAAATCACCAACATTTATGAAGCTTGGATTATCGAGATTGTCCAGTTTTAGTATGGAATGTCAAAATAAGTTTTAATGCAGACGTAGGATACATTTATTGCGGTTACGTTTCTTAGAACCTACATTGAGTACTATGTTTGCACTAAGAAATCTAACATTTACGTTGTATGTAATCTTGAAATGTGCCAATCGAGATCTCAGAAAGAACTATGCATCTTCAAGTATGCATACTGTCTTTTCCTATTGGTATCAAAAAAGGCTTCTAGCTGACATCAGCAGTTCACGAATTGAAGTAAGCTACTCAACATAAGGCTTTAACTTGAAACCTTGAAAAGTTGCCGCTCACGATAGGAAACATGGTATTTAATTTCAAGTTACGTGATTTAGAGAAAATATGCGCAGTCAACAGAAAAAGTTGCCTGTTTATAGGAATAGATAGAAAAATGACATTTATTACTAGATATATTTCTTTGTATTCATCAGTCAGTTAAAGAAAATTGCGGCAGTATGAAATTAATTTACCGAAGTGGGTTTAAAGAATTATATTCGTTCTATTAAATAAGCAGCATGATAATGAGGAACTGTATTAGCAGATGAGTAAACAAAATATACAGTTATATCATTGCTTTTAAATTAAATGAATAATATTATAAACATCATCAACAGGAATTGGATAATTAATGTGCGATTGTATCATCTGAAGACATAAACTAAATAAAGGAAGTTATTCATGGAAAACGTTTCATCAGACAATCTTTAAACTGATAACGTACACGTTCCCGGTTATTATTTCAGCATATATCAAACAGCTGTATTCGATTTAGAACATTTAGTTGGATCTGTGTGTAGATGGGGTAAATATCCTTTAATAAGCAGTACCTCATGTAGGTATATAACAAAATAATTCCACATTTTAACAAGGTTTCACCGGTTTGATATTCCAGGTAAGGCATACAATGTAAGTATTTTCACAGCAGTTTTCAATATGTTATCTTTTCTCCAAAATGGTTGATGTATGACTTACTCATAGGGAATACTGAGTAACTCAATTTAACTAATTCAAGATTTTTGAGTGATTCATCTTCAGTATAATGAATAAGTTGGTTCATTCCTTCTATCAGATTACTGTTGGTTACGAGTAAGACATTTCAAAAAGCAATAAAAACATCATTCATGCCTTCATAACTGTAGTAGATAAAAGCATTTAGATGCATGAAAGATAGTTATCGCTAAAGACTGAAATAACTTTCAAGTAGGTAACGAATTATTCACCTCAGGTATATAAACAGAAGTATGAGATGAAAAAGTCTCATGGAAGTCGGTTTTCTCCTTTGAATATATCCGTTATTTTTACTTAACGAAGTTGAACACCTTTCCATTTTTACAAATAATTTTTGTTTTGATGGTGACAGTAAGTTTTAATGAATTTTATTTGTTCACGGAGATTCTTCCAGTTTATTTTGCTAACCTTTGAATCATAAGATGTAAAGTACTGAACATGAAAAATATTTGCAGTGTAATGTACCGTTTCCTTCTGAATTGGCGGAATACAATAATCTGTAATTTTATTTACTTAACCGACATTTATTATTATTACTTTTAATGCGCTTAATATTCTTAATGCCATTTAGGTGATAATATCAAAACTTGGAACGAAAAAATAGTCTTCTCTTTATTGCTAGGTGGATAGCGTCTTTTCAATGGATGACTGAGTAAAGCAATACTTTATTTTCAGTGCTGATGATGTGAAAAAAAATGAAAGCATAAATGGACGAAAATCTGTTAGATGCATTCAATGCAGTCCTCAACTTTAAGTTAGCAATTTATACCATAATTTTAGTCATCAGACAAATGCCATAAGAAAGCATTTTACAAGTATAAATATCATAGAATGTTTACATAACCAACCATCTCCACCTATAGATTCTGCTCTACAGACGCTTGAAAATAAGATGTAATAAATGTTTCCATCGTTGAAAGGTAGATTGCCTACAATATTTCCCATATCAGTTTAGGGATTATCAGAATTTCAAAAATATAATCTGAAGGTGAAAATATTACAACATTGATAAAAAACTACACAAACATATCAGCATTTAATAACTTACCGAATCCGTGAATGTTTTTAAACACTTAGCTGCACAAATAGATTCGCTGATTAAATCCATAAAATCTCCACAACATAATAAAAGATTTGCTACTAGTAGGAGAATTTGACAATTTTTATAATATGCTAACTGAAGCATAGTCTATAAAAGTAGAAGTGTCCTTAAATATGTCAGAGTCATGTCATGATTTGAAAGTTGAGAATATTTTTAAATTAATTTTCTTGATAATTTACAAACATTAAGCTTTTACCCTCCATTATATCACTTAAAACATCAATTATTCTAACTCTGCTTAATGAGGTGTTGAATGAATAAAATGACTAGTTCATTATTTACGGAATTATTTAATAAATGATGATTAAAAATTCTTTTTATTTCCTGAGTTTATCAACCAATCAGCAGCTTGAATAATAAGGTCGAACAAGTGAATTCTGATTGGTTTAAAAATAATGACTCAATCAAAAGGTTCGTTTAGCCATATATCCAAGCTTCATTATTGTAACAATATTTAATTTTGTGACCACATGTATAACATCCAAAGAAACGAGTGACCATTCTTCCATTCTTATAATCAAAAGATCCACTAAGTAAAGGGATAAACACATACTATCTTAAATTTCACTTACGAATACCAAATTTCTGTGTGAAAAATCTTGCGAAATGAATCAAATAATACCATAGTAACTTGTTTCTAAATTTGGTGCTTAATAAAAAGAATAATCCAGCAGAGAAGGTAGGCATAAAAAAGGTATGACATAAAACTCGCAACAACGTGAAGCAGGAAAACTCTAACACGATGGAAGATATCTAAAGTTAAGTCATAGATCTTTGCTGCTAAAAACAACACTACTTTTGTCACAATATGACTGGTGATAGTACATCAGGCTTTCAAAATAAAAGATCAGCTCCGTACATGTGAATCACCAATACTTTGCTGGCATTCATATAACGCATTTGAAATCCTTTGAAAACATAAAAATGGTTGATATCAGCTAATTTAGGAGACCTACTGAACAGACTTAATGACGTTTTGAAAAATGATACATCTAAGCTGGAAAATACTGCCAACGCGTCCAACGGAAATTCGTAAGCGAATAAGGAATCAGTGGACGGATAGATTCATGCGGAGATCACATTCATTGCCATAACACATTGGTGGGGTGACTATCTACTGGAGAAGTTGATTCTAAAGCCTACATCTTTTTCGAATATCTTGGAAGATTTTTAGAATTTAAAAGCAAAATTTCTTTTGGATTTTAGACTCATGTAGATTGATCTGTCCTTCATAACGGGACGCAAATCTTGGAATTTCACACACTTTAAAATCAGTGAATATAGGTGGATATCATTTTGATGTTAGGGTATCCTGCAAACGTTCAACTTCCCATAAAGTGCGTCTTTATATAGTATATTTTAAATCCTTGCAAATAAGGAACGAACAAGGTTCTGTCTAGTATCGGGTGCAAGAGACCACTGAAACTTAGCGAACCTTCAAGAAAGTATTCATCTGGTATGCTCTGACGGATGGATCAAATTATGTTATTTTCCTATTATAGGTACAGCCAGGGATGAAAGTAATGAATCAAAAAAACAATCTACATTAAGTTCTAAAAGTTAACTGTCAGAGTTTTAACCACTGAGATTTCAAGCGAGTCTTCATCACAAATGATAAAGATGTCATCAACTCACCTTTTTTCTAATTACAGCTGTTTGGTAGCCGATTAAGGCACATGACTTTCAAGACCAATCTGTGAAACAGTCAGACAGTATTGAAACATGAAGAGTTCTCAAGAGTGAGTCATAAGACGAATACAAGAAATTTAAGCATGATTAGGCATATTCCTATACATCTCGCAAAATGGGAATTTTTATGACAAATAAGGTGCTTTTCACTGTATTCTGTTTTGAACTTCAAAATTTGATAAGCAATATCACCACTCGTTGTGACAGTCATATAAGAACTTAAATGTAGTAATCTGTCAATCTAATTGAAAGTTTTACTGCAACAGTTCAGTGAAGTAACTGAAATTCACTATTCCTTCACTTTTGTTACTTAAAACGTAAAGGAGATGGCATGTTACATATCGAAATGCATCCAAATCACTAGGCTTTTCTGAACATCTGATGAGTGAAATTTTGAGCTTCTTAAGTTGATAATGAAAATATTGTTCCCTATTCACAATTCGATCTGTGAAATTCCTACGATAATTTCATCGAATAAATTCAAGGAGGCTTTAATTTTTCGGCAACATAACGATATTCTATTCCAAGAAGATCTATAACCATAGGGAAGATTTGAATTCGGATGTTCATCTACACTTGTATGTATTGATGATGAATCTGGTTAGTTATGCCATTTGCTCAATACCTTAATTCGAACTTTTTACGGATAAGGATTATGATGATCACCGAATTGCGGTTAGTCTCTTGAGAACTGAATGCAGTAGGCGAAATGCAAACAAGTGTCACGTCGCGAATGACAGTTGCATAGGCTTTAAAAGGTTAAATGTTGACCACAATGTGGTTCATATGCTTATGCTGTGATTCAAGGGAGGG